ATGCCCATGATAAGTGGACATCTAGCTCACTAAAATCATGCCAAACCACAGACGTACAAGAGAGGTTCAACATGTATAAAAACTCACTACTATTACAGGTGATGCTGGGCGTCATAAACTCTGGGGAAAAGCTGTCCTAACTCTTCCACAAAAACCAAGAACCATGGGACTTCATTCCCAATGTTTGGAAGGGCAAGCCAAAGGAAAAAAAATCTTCATAAAAGAAAAGCAGGAGCTCTTTTATGCCTTCTTTCATATTCCATATAGTAACTAACAATAGCACAAACTTCCCTCTCCTCTTCCCCCATTTGTAGGTTACCACTGATGTTGAAAGGGCATTTCTTTGTACAGTGTAATGTCCATGTTGTTGAGAACTTATCTTTAGCATCATGAAGTCTTCCCGGCACTTGTCCGTATAAAGCCTGGATTTGGCAATAAAAGACTAACTCAATCTATTAATTTAGCATTTTACTAACAATAATTCAGTTAGAAATATCACTCAGGTCTGTGACTTATTAGGTGTGAGAAATAGTTTTCAAACTGTAATTAATCATTTTTGAATAAACTTTTTTACACATTTATGGCATCAATGGGGTATGACTGTTTATTATGATTTACCTATAAAAGCTGAGCTGTTTTATATACTCTTTATGGAAACAGTGCAGTCATAAATTAAAAGATGCAACTGTTTTGGATATTTTACTGGTGGTCCTCTACTTTCCTGCCAGAAGTGCAGCTGTTTTGGGTTTCTCAGGATAACATATAAAAATGCTGTGTGTGCATTGCAAGTTTATGCTTGAATTTCCAAGCCAGGGGTGGAATGACTCAACTTTCCCAGGAGCAACTTGTACTAAAATGTGATGAATCAAAACATATAGTTTAATCTCCGTGGCTTTCATTACAAATGAAATTCTCATTTATGGTCCTGTATCTGGCTTTTAAAGGTTGAGACAGCCACTCAACTGGTGATCTTTAGGCTGTAGACCTGGGGCTTTTTATATGCTCATCTGGTATAAATGGCAGTAGCTGCATCCAGGTAATTTACTCCAGCTGAGGATCTGGCCCTACATCTTTATTATGTGGAGGGCAGGGATTATGAGTTATGGCACTAAATGAAACACTCGAGCCCCATTTAACCCCATTTTTCTTGGTACAACACTGTCATTTTACTGGTTGTTCCAAGTGGGCCAAATAACTGTAGCGTTGGGCTCCTAAAAAGGGCTGGGGAGAGCATGAAAATTCAAGGTCACACAATGAGCCTAACCTCTTAAAAGCTTCAGGTGACTGGTTCAAATTTGGTCTAGGTATTTCTAGCCTTGTGTGAAATTGAGTTTCTGGTTCTGTGCTGATTAGGCCTTGGTTGGAGTATTGTGTCCCATTCTGGGCATCACATTTCAAGAAAGATGTGGAGAAGTTGGAGAAGGTCCAGAGAAGAGCAACAAAAATGATTAAAGATCTAGAGAACTTGACCTACAAGGGAAGACTGAAAGAACTGGGCTTGTTTAGTTTAGAAAAGAGAAGATTGAGAGGGGGTATGATAGCAGATTTCAAGTATCTAAAAGGGTGTTACAAGGAGGAGGGAGAAAAATTGTTTTCCTTAGCCTCTGAGGATAGGACAAGAAGCAATGGGCTTAAACTGCACCAAGGGAGGTTTATGTTGGACATTAGGAAAAACTTCCTGCCTGTCAGGGTGGTTAAACACTGAAATAAATTGCCTAGGGAGGTTGTGGAATCTCCATCACTGGAGATATTTAAGAGCAGTTTGGATAGACATCTGTCAAGGATGATCTAGATCCATGCTTCTCAACCTCTTTTTATAAAGTACCCCCTTAAAAAAAAAAAAAAGTACCCTCAGTACCTACAGTTTTCAGATGTACACAATTTTTTTTCTACCATGGCAACACATTTGTTTAAACAATTTAATCGTAGCTGGGTGGGCGATGAAATTTTTGGGTGTAAAAAGTACAAAAATAATAAAACACTATAAAACTTTAAACAAAAATTCAGTTTTCTCCAAATTTCAGTTGTGTTGACATACCCCTAAGGATACTCGTACCACTGGTTGAGAAACACTGATCTAGATGGTGCTTGATCCTTTCCTGAGGGAAGGGGACTAGATTTGATGATCTCTCAAGGTTCCTCCCAGTTCTAGTATTCTGTGAGTCTATAATTCCACTTGCCAGAAAGGCATCTGGGGAAATCTATCTCTGATTCCAAATTCCTGTCTGTAAAATGGGGAAAATATTTACCTCACTGGGGTATTGTGAGGATTTGTTCACCAGTGGGTCTGGTTTTGCAATTTCCATGCACCAGTGTAACTTAATGGATTCCGTGGAATTCTAGATGTTCATTCTCAGAGCAGTTTTGGTGTCACTAAACCCACCAGCACCACTGGCATTCTGCTGGCAGTCTGTCATTAATAGTTCACATAGATCTACCCAAAGGTCTCTTGAGAACAATGTAGGGAAGCTTGTATTACTGTTGTCCCTCTGTGCTTGTTCTGTGAGTTCCTAGGAGACTCTAGAATTCCATAGAACTATCTGACTCTATACAGACTGATACCTCTAATGTTCTTTACTCTGTAACTAGTCATTAAGAAAGGGATACATAACAAGACAGAAAATATCTTATTGCCTTTTTACAAATCCATGGTCTTCTCATATCTTGAATACTGTGTGCAGATATGGTCTTCACATCTCATAAAACATATATTGGAATTCGAAAAGGGTCAGAAAAGGCCAACAAAAATTATTAGGGATATGGAACAGTTGCCATATAAGGAGAGATTAATAAGACTGGGACTTTTCAGCCTGGAAAAGAGATGACTAAGGGGGTATATGATAGAGATCTACAAAACCTCTGGTGTGGAGAAAATAAATAAGGAAGAGTTATTTATGCCTTCCCGTAACACAAGAACTAGGGGTCACCAAAATGAAATGAATAGGCAGCAGGTTGAAAACAAAAGGAAATATTTCTTCACACAATGCATAGTTCACTTGTGGGCCTTCACAGCAGTCTCTGGTAGGGAGCTCACGACTAACAGAGTTTAGAAAAGAGCTAGATAAATTCATGGAAGATAGGTCCATCAGTGGCTTTTTCCCAGCATGGGCAGGAATAGTGTCCCTAGCCTCTGTTTATCAAAGTTGGTAATAGGTGACAAGATATCATTTGATGATTTACCTGTTCTGTCCATTCCCTCTGGGGTTCCTGGCATCATCCACCATGGGAAGACAAGTCCATTCCCTCTGGGGTTCCTGGCATCGTCCACCATGGGAAGAAAAAATAGAAGGGTCTTTGGTCTGACTCAATATGGCCGTTCTTATGTTCTTAAGTGCTTTAATTTACTCAACACAAATACCTAGATTTTGAAGAGAAGTAACAAAAGCAACTAAAAAAAATGCATAGATACAAATTGCATCTAGAAAAGCCAAAATTTGTGAGGATATCTAGGGATGCATTTTACATGCCCGCCTGTATTCTGCATCGGTGTTTCCCAGCTGGTGTGCCTGTATTCTGCATCTGTGTTTCCCAGCTGGTGTGCCATCAGGCCCAAACAGGTGTGCCATGGATTTTTTTTTAAACTAGAAAACAAAAGAAAAGCTTTCCTTGTATTTGAATTACTGTTGGAGGTGGATTGCAGTTTGTAGTTTAGCTCTCCAGGATGTTAATGTGATGCATGCATCACATTCTGTCTTCCAAAGTGAGGTTAAGATAGCCCTGTGGAATGGGAGCAGAAAGGTGGGGGGAAGGGAAGGAGGGAAGTTGCCTTCTGATTGGTTGTCTGCCTTACTATCCTGCCTCCTTCAGGGGCTCAGCAACCAATCAGAGCTCCATCATCCTCTTCTCCTCCCTTCTGCAGCCACCAGAGGTGGGGGAAAGAGCCTCTGGAAGGGGAGTTGGGGACTCTGTTGCAGGGTTGAGAAGGGACAAGAACTCCAGGAGAAGCAGAGGTGAGGTGAAGCGAGGGTTGGGTGTGAGGTGAGGGAGCTAGGGGAGTAGAGCTGGTGCAGGTGAGGGGCAGAATTGGGGTGAGGAGGGGCCTGGATGGATGGAGGGTAAGAACAGAACTGATGGGAAAGAGCCTCTGGAAGGGGAGTTGGGGACTCTGTTGCAGGGTTGAGAAGGGACAAGAACTCCAGGAGAAGCAGAGGTGAGGTGAAGCGAGGGTTGGGTGTGAGGTGAGGGAGCTAGGGGAGTAGAGCTGGTGCAGGTGAGGGGCAGAATTGGGGTGAGGAGGGGCCTGGATGGATGGAGGGTAAGAACAGAACTGATTTGGAGAGTGGGGCACAGGATTGTTTTGGCTGTTTGCGGGTGGGGCGGGGGG